CTCGACCACCGAGCTTGCCGGGGTCGGATGGCCGGTCCGAGTCAAATGAAGCAGCGGGTACCGTGAACTATTTTCAAGATGTATTTTTGCGTTGGGAAGATGTTAATTATTTAATAACGGGTTTGCCCTTACCCAACGTATATTAATAAGCACTGTATCAAGATGTATTTTTGCGTTGGGGAGATGTTAATTATATATAACAGTGCTTATTAATATACGTTGGGTAAGGGCAAACCCGTTATATACAAAGTTACCTGATCAAAGCAGGACCAAAGAGCGGTGGACCTGCTTGAAGCAAAATCAACGTATGTCAAGGTGGATGACGTGCACCGAGTGGCGACACCACTTCTGTGGAGGCTTGATAAGCCCACACTCTCCTGTCCAGCCAGTGCAGTGCTGCCTTCATTGAAGAGAAATGAACAACACCTGTTGAAAGACCCCAATTTGGCAAAGATTCATAGTCACAAGATCCAGGAACTCAAGGAAAAAGGCCTTGTCCATACTGTTGTCCACAAGGGAGGTGACCAGAGTGGCAGTGGTAAATTCTGCATCATGTTGTGCACCAGAATGACAAGTTCCGCCTTGTCTTCAATTGTGCCTTTCGATACCAAGGTGAATCCCTGAATGAAAACCTTTTTCCAGGCCCTTCTCTTGGGTCATCATTGGTGGGTGTTCTCCTCAGGTTCAGAAAACACCCCATGGACATATGTGGGGACATCAAGGCGATGTTTCAATGCATCTCAACTTTGGAAGCCGACCGCCCTTAGCTACGCTTTCTCTGGAAAGAACCCAACTCTGAGAAACAGATAACAGATTCGTTGGTGCTCGGGTCGCTGAAGTTCAACGGCTGATGAATCATGTCACCTGGCAGTATGTAGAGTCGCAAAACAATCCTGCAGATGACCTTACTTGAGGTCTCCCATTGTAACAAATACATGACAGCATTCGATGGCATACTCCATTCTTTCTGCTTCATTCTGAGACAGACTGGCCAAAAGAACCACTGAAGCTTACCAAAGAAGAGGTCCATTTGGAAGTGAAACCAGACTTCTTCACAGGGCTGATGGTGACACCCCAAGAAAAAAGCCCAAAGGTTGATGTTTCAGGCTTTGATAATTGGGACGAGCTGGTTGAAGGGTACAGTAAAGCTCTGGACCAATCCCAAGGGGAAGAAAAACCTTTGTTCCTGAGCGTTGATGACCGACCCAATATTGAGAGGCTCTTGTTCCAGCGGGTACAGACAGACTGCTTCCAGAATGGACTTTGTCCGCTGGCAAGCCTGTATCCACCAAAAGTTGACTGAGCTGTCTCTGCCCTGAATATGATGCTGAAAGTCAGCTGATCAGGGTTGGTGGGCATCTCCGTCGGGCGTCAGAGCTGGACTCTTACGCCAAGCATCTGATAGTGCTAGATCCAAAGCATCCAATTACCCGTCTGCTCATTCAAGAGGCCGATTGCCGCTTGGGACATTGCGGTGCGGACATGGTTCTTGCTGATCTCCGTCTCAGTCCATTAGAAGCCTACAAAGTTGGTGTGAGGGCTGCATCAGGCGACGTGGGAAACCCTCCATTCCCAAGATGGCAGATCTACCGTCATCCCGGCTCCGCATTGGTAAACCTGCTTTCTATTCTACCGGAGTAGATTGCTTTGGCCCATTCACGGTCTCCCTTGGTCGGAGAAGTGAGCAAAGAATGGGAAATCATTTTGGAAGTGTATGACCACTTGAGTGGTCTACCTTGATCTGCTAGACTCCCTTGACGCTGATGCATTTCTGACGGCATTTAACCATTTTCGGTCTCAAAGAGGTACCCCACATGAGATCCTATGTGACAATGGAACCAATTTCAAGGGAAGATTGAAAGAGTTGACCAAGGCCTTCAGTGAAATGACGCCTGGTTTGTCAGGCATTGATGCAGCAGTTCTGGAAGGAGTTTGTCAGTTCATATCTTCCTTCGATGCAAGCTCGCCAGAAATGGCAAAAGGAAGAAGAGGATCTGGCAGTTGGAAATGTGGTTTTGATAATAGATCTGCAGCAGGTCTGTGCTTCCTGGCCTTTGGTCGCGTCATCATGATGGACGAGTACGTGCTGTGAGTGGAAGCAGGTGGTCGAGTTTACATCCGCCCGGTTGCTAAGCTGATCTGGCTGCCTGATGAGACCGAAGACAGAGCTGAAGCATCTGACACTGTCCCTTCGAGTCCAAACAAGAACAAGTTGGTACTTTCATCTTCACCTACCCCATCAACATGGGGCGGCCATTCTGAAATCTTGTCCAGTCAAACTTGTTACCAGTTACCCTTGCCAATTACTTCACTGTTTAAAGTGTTATTGTATTACAAAAATCTCAGTGTTCCTTAACAACTGCTTGCCTGTAGGAAGTAAACTGTTTCTCACAGTTTAGGGGCGGCTGTGTAGCAAACTACTTTAGTGAAGCACGCCGTCTCTGGCCGGATTGCAAGCAGCGCACACGCCATATTTTCCCCAACATGTCAGGAGGTGGATTGGATGGTGAGTTTTGTGCTTTTCTGTCTGTAATGATGATGTTTTCCAATAATAAAGGAACCTTAAAATCATTTACTTATTTAACCCTTATCAGTGACGCTAAATATAAGCATTTATTTTCCAGTCAATATTTTGTCAAATAGGGTTACAATTGGCAGAGTGTTGGAAATAGGTGTAGTTCCATTGCTTTACGACCTGTAAAGTTAACCATGTACATGAATACTTATCTGTGGGTTAAGATAATTAATTTCTTGTTCTACTGCCTTTCTTTTTATCTCGATTTAGACTGGTTAGAGGGATTGGACTACATGTAGTTTTAATCATCTCTAAGTTGTCCACTAACTAAACTGACATGTCATGTATTATCCCATGAGCACGAAATAAAGTTATGTGAACACTGCAACCAATGAATATTGGCCTCAATATTCTTCACAAAGGGAACAATTTATGTTATTTTTTGGAAGAAAAGATACTTTTTACATGCATTTTATTTCACCAGAACAGTGAATATAGTAACTCATTTATATAGCTGAACATGTGCATTTATACATTTAGTTTACAGTCCTGAATACACATCTTTGAAGGAAAACCCCTTCAATGAAAATGTGGCCTTAGTTTCAGTTTTTGGTGAGAAAATTGTTCACTATTTCAGTGTTCACCTGGACCATAGTTGGAATAAATTTGGTGCAAAAAGCATATGTAATGTTTATAAATGGTACATCTAGTACGTAAATTGGAAGTTTTTTCGTGTGATTTGAGAATACATGTGCAATTGTCCAAAATACATCTTTTTTATGACTGCGTATAATGTGGTATACATGCATTCTCATATTACTATACTTCACAAAACCTCTGACTACAACAGAAAACAGTACATGTACTTTAATAGTACGATAAACAAAATTTTAAAAGCTTTGACAGTAAAATAGACACTGGATAATGTGCTAATTTAAATCTCATTTTTGTGTACTGTATGTTCTCATCTCAGTTTTACAATCTTAGCAACCCAAGAAAAATACTGAAAGTGCAATTCGTTGGAATGTTATTGCCAGTATCTACTTTTTACTTGTAATTTCTACAATACCAAGATGTGCTACAAAGAAACATCTGAGAAAAACCACATAGCCCCAGTGAAACCATTGTCTGCATCCACTCCATCCAACCCTGTTGTCGCAGTCATCTGCATTATCCTTCACATCCTTGCATTCCTCCTGGCAGTGTCCACACAAGCAAATGGGCTTAACCTCCCGTTTTCTTTGTCTTGTTTTTTCTTGTTGGAAGTTTATTCTTTGGCTGGAGGAGGATAAACAGGTCAGGTGCAGCACTAACAGCACCTGATGATAAGTATGATGATGATGTCCACTTCCTCCGTTTACAAGAGACCAGTTCAGGGCAAACATAATCATGAAAGAAAGTGGTGGCTAATTTGACCATCTCTAACCAGTAAGCTTCATCAAATATTATTCTTTCTTCATGGTTACCATTACCAGTGTACACAAAAAAGTTACACCATTTCCACTGAGTAACAGCCATGTGCATTTGGACTTGGGTGTAGTACTGATGTGATTGTTTGAGTATTACAATCCCGTCACTGTCTGTGGACAAATATCCCAAGTTATGGGGTGTGGGGTTTTGTTTGAGTATGGAATAAGGACACTATTTCAAGAACACCATTGCCACAGCAAGTGCATGAAATGAGGGCATCCGGAGAAGCCCCCCCCCCAAAAAAAACGGCTCATCTTTGAGCATGAATAGACCTACTCCCTCAACCATCAAGCTGTTATTCTTCAAGCTTGCTTCCGCTCTGTACTTCTCACGTGCAACAAGCTCATTCTTTTTCCCATATTGGATTGACTCAATGCTTTGATCAAGCTTGACATAACCCTTGATGCGTCTGATAATGTTGCATGTGGTTATATCAATTCCTTTGCTTGTTGTTCCATCTTTTTCCACTTTTCTTAATTTTGTCACAATACTGTGAATAATTGATTAAGTCGCACGGCCCTCTCTAAATTTGTGTCACAATGGATTAGCTGCTTGGGAACGAATCTCATGCTCTACAGCTAAACTGTCGTCATCAGTGTACACCGGTATTTTTTTCAGGATATCAGGAACCGTCTCAACATCAGATGTGAAGTCAGTAAGAGACTGAGGTATGTTATAAGAAGTGTGAACATCTACCCTTGTCTATACATGTATATTCACATCAGCTTCTACGGCATAATTGGGTGTGCATTCAAACTTCACATAAGGACGCAGACTGGATTTAGAGACAGTACCATAAATGGCTGAAGTGAAACGTCTCAGGGCATCTTCAGGGCTCGCTGCTGCCAGGTGTTTTGTGGGTCAAAAAGCTGCCGTTCTGGTGGATTTATCGTTTCCTGATGAGAACCTGTCAAGGCATAAACAGTACAATAAAAACATGTACACACTTTCAGGTCGACTGATTACAGCTCTTTGGCAACTTTTTATACAAATATTTCTGTTTTTATTTTATCAACTGTACATGATGATGATGTCCTAATCTTGGCTGCTTTAAACTCATTAAACTCAAAGCAGCTGAGGTGGCAACCCTTACTAGATGAAATGCAGTGCATACTGGGTAGTTCATTTTAGCCAAAAATTGGGAAAGATTTCTATTTAAGACTTACACTTGACGCCCAGTGTATAAACCATATGAGACTGGTCTGAAATATAAGTGTCTTCACTGAAAATGATTGTATTTTCTGACTGCTAAAATTGACTTCCATAACATGTAATTGATTTCTGGGGACTGAGAAGTTATTAAAAAGGAAAATAAGTGCAAGTTTTATATGGAAATCTTTCCAAAATTTGAGTTAATGTGGGATCATTCCTTCTGATGTTTACAACTTTGGAATGAGGCCAGTGGTCGATTTAGCAAAAATAATTCAATTGTGAAAGCCGTGACATTTACCCCAGATATGCTACGACCTGTCACCTCTACCTGGTTCCATCTGACATGTCTGATAAAACTATTTACACCAGTACAGAGTTACAGTGCTGCTAGTGGAAAATGGACTTATATTAATTAAGACAAATATGGAAATTTTCAATAAATTATATATGCTGCACATTTACATACATATCACTCTTCTCATCGTGAGGTTATGCCAATTCATCTCAGAAACGAGTTTTCCTTCTAGAATGTCACTGATGTCTGGAGAGGAAGGACCATTGAATGTGTTTCATTCACTCGGTAGTGATGTGCAAGACCTTGATGTCCAACCTCGCTGGTATGCAAAGTCAAGCTTGAAGAGCAAAGCCGCAACATGATTGCATGTTGAGCCCATTCTGCACAGCAGAATAAGAAAGTTGATATTTTTAAATCAGAAAAAATAAATTTATTCTATGTAGTGTTGTGTGCATGCTTTGTAGCTGCTACATGATTCGTATTATCATCCTGTACTTACCAACTTGTTACATTTGTACACTGAATGTCAGGTACATGTATTTAGTGACAACTACCCGGTAACATGAATACATGTACTGTTTGTTTCTTTGTCCATGAATACGGCATGAAAAAGCGAATACCTCATTGAACAAACGAGAAACACCTATTTGTATTTTAGTCAATCCAAGTTTCAAAATTTATCGCTATCAGATTTTTAAAAAGTACTCAATTAATTACAGGAAAACCCGAAATGAAGATTTTCTCAATACTGCATGACAAGAATTGTTACAGAAATTAAAGAGGCTGATCCTTACCCTGCGTGACAAGTGCAGTAGGCAAGAATGGATTTTCCCACTCAACGTTTCAACGCACACCCATGCTGTGTGGGGTGTGTGATATACACTTTGTGAAGGTGTGCACTACGCTTTCAGAAAGTACACCACGGAGTCATTCGAGATATGGTGGTAGAAAACCTCCTTCAGCCATTTTGTATCAAAATAGCTGCATGCTTTTCCTTCCTTGTAATCTGTAAGCAGGCTCCGACGAAGGGATCTCGCCTGTGTCTCTGAATGACTGCTGCTTTTATGAGCTGGGATCAACAGATGATTTGCAACTTCAGTAAAACTTGTTGGAGGCCATTTCATTACATCTTTGGCTTCTCCTTGCCATCCATCTGGTAAATCAGTCAGGGGGTCTGGCAAAAAGGAGTTTCCATGCTTCAAAAGCTGCGAATACTGTCCAGCACGTACATGTATCTGTTTTTCCTCAGTTGCACTCGGTAGAACAGGCACATTTAACTGTGTTACAGCAGCAAAAGCTACTGCTGCGAGCTCCTCTTTTTGTCCCGTTTGTTTGGGTCCTCTATCGGCCAAAAAAATTCTTCAAAACTTCAACTTTCCAATGAAGAAAATCATCCAAACTTACATGTAGATCCTTATTTTTTCTTCACTCATGTTGAGTTAGAAAAATAAATAAAACGAAGAAAAGACAGAATAACGTAGCAAACGAGACATGACACTACACATATCATGCACAATCAATGTCGCGTGTGTTGAGGATCTTTTCCAACTAACCTTTGACCTTTCCCATAATCCTTTGCAAATATCGAAATGTCGAACTCGCTTATAAATACACTCATACCCAATAGTTCCATATAGGTTACCTATGGTGTTCAGGGGAAGATTTGCATCAGAAAACGCAAACAGAGGTTGGGTCTGGTACGATTGCAGGTACCTTTTGCCATTGCGTACGGAACCATAAAAAAGATGGACCCAGAGGCCTTCAGAGTAGTGCTTTATTGTTCAGGAAGTAGGCCTAGTGGCTACGTATTCAGTGTTAGTAGTATAGTAGCATACACAATGTTTATGTGTACCTGTAATAAGTTTATCAAAGTATCATAATGTGACAGGGAGGCCATTATGAAATATTTTAATTAGCATGATTAGGGCCTAGGCCTATTATAGTATTACTATTTCTTCTATGAGTAATATTCTATAGTAATACTAGTATAGGCCCTCATCATGCTAATTACAATATTCTTTAGTATCAAACTTACCGTTTAATTCTTAAAATACACTGCTGGGTGGGCTTTTGATCATCCCAATCACGGCTTGCAGATGGATCCCACGAAGCCGTACTGCTACTCTGCTGTAACGTGACTTCACTAACGTTAGAAGCGGCAGCTTCCGCCATATCTAATATTGTTTACTATGGTGGCTTTAATTTGCCAATGAGTCGGAAAGCCAGTTTTTCGGGAAAATTACACACGTAGATATAGATAACACGAATCGGCTCATTGTCACACGGCGAGCTTCTAAAACCATAGTCCGGCACCGACCATGCCCCGACTAACCATGGGGGATTCCGTCCTCCATGGACTAACAAACCACTAGCACTACGCCAACCATGCCAACCTGACTCCCCTAAGATTTGGAGTTGACGTCACTTGACTTTGTTTATTTACAATTTCGTTCTCTTGGTGTTTTGAAATTTGTTAATTTTTGTCTGTCTTATGAAAGTAATTTGTTTGAGGTTGTTTTCTGTATGTTTATTATAGACTTTATTAATTTTGTTTTTGGGCCGCCCAAATATATCTGAGGGGCGAATCAAATCTGAAGGCGCAAGATGGATAACTCTGTCCAAATAGTGTAATTACTGTAACCGTTATTTGAGCAAGCGATACGCCTGCGCGGTTGACAGTAATGCTTCAGCGCAGGCTCACCAGATGAATGTGCCTGCCGCGGGCCTGCGCCTATGCAGTAATGAGCACTGCGCAGGCGTATCGCTTGCTAAAATGGCCCCGGTATGGTTACAAGTTTTAGTGTGTTTGCGGTGAAGTTCTCCATGTTGCGCGATGCGCTTGTACGATCTATGTACGGAGCCGACATTTTTCGAAACGAGTAGATTAGGGCCGTTTTCCAATACTTAATTCGGCTCCGTCTCATGCTTCAACTGTTTTTACTTCCTGACTTTGAGGTTGTAAGCGCAATAGTAAGTTTGATAGTGCCAAAAAACACCAAGTAAGATACAAAAGAGCCAATCATTACAGTAATTCAATGTAAGTTAAACGCTTCAGGCCCACAATTGGGGATTGGTATCCTACACACGACGACTGAGAGATGGAGACGAAGTTGACTATTGATCATACTTCAGTTTGGCTGGTTCCAATCAAGGGTCGACTATGTGGTCTCGAAACGCTGCGTCAGAATGGCTGGAACCAGCGAAACCAAAGTCTAAGCCGAAACGCTCTGAGCATGCAATAAAGGTGTGGCGCAATATTGAGACCGTATAAAATTTCAACCATTAAAAAATACTGGACACAAGATACATGCTTGATTTCAGTAAGATATAGAATAATTGCATAATAATACAATATTAGAAGGGAGCAGGTTTCAATTTCTGTCAAAGGTGACGATATAAAATGTAGTATTTAACCAGAGCCTGTTTTGTTTACTTGCGTAGATTGGGTTCAAATTGTCCAGAAAGATCAAACGGCCCTGCCTGCGTCGTGTATCGCCCAGTAGACTACTGATCGGCCGACGTTGCCTGGATGTTACCTGTCTTGACAGTTTGGTGAACCATTTGTCGACGTCTTCTACCTTGGAGATCTTATCAATAAAGTTTGTGAGTATGACTAGTGCAAGGGGACGTTCGTGTAAAAAGTAGGGCAGTCTCTGACCTTAACTTACCTTTTTCACAATTTCAGACTAACAACAGGCCAGGCCTAATGACATGACTGAAGTAGGGGTATCCCTGAATTAGCTCGGCCTGATGTAAGGCACGTAGGGAGGCTTTTAAATTTTTCAGCCATTTTTTTTCTTTTTGACTTGATCTTTGAGAGGATGTCATAAGAAACATTTCGATATAAGTTTGGATTCTGTCGGTCCCTGCAAAGCAAAGAAATACTGATTTAAAGTAGGGGTATTTTGAGATTTTGGGACTTTTTTGTAGGCTAGGACATGTGTAATGCACTGTGATCACTGGTGATTCAGTGATGAATGTGGATTTTGACTGAAAAGCTTAAAATTCATATTTTCATATAATCTTTGTTCATATTTGTGCCTTATTTCAATGAATTAAATGTTGGCTTCAGTTAAATTTTCAAAAAAATTGACATTGGAAATAAAATAGAGGAGCTAGAGCGTGAGGAGAAAGACAAATTTCGATCACAATTTCCTATTTAAGAAAATGAGTTTCCCAAATGAACAGTGCCCTCACTCATTTATGCATGTCCCTACCTGACATTACTTCCTGAACGGTAAGGCCACAGCACTGCATAAGCCTTATCGTAAATACTGCATGGGTGATGTAACACAATGGTAGAAAGGCATTGAGGGAAGGAAAAAGGAGCAAACATTACCCCTTTCTCCTTCCCACAATGCCTTTCTACTATTGTGCAAAATCATTTATTCAGTATTTGCGATAAGGCTTACATGTATATACTCTGTCATTGTCTGCAGGCCTTACTGATTCCTGATATTTTGCAATGGTTCCGTACTCAATGGCATTTTGAAAAGTGCCCTGAAAATCATACCAGAAAAAATCTCTGTTTGTACTTTCTTGATCAAGTCTTCCCAAAAAACCCACAGGTGACCTACTTCAAGAACTCGAAATCACTAACTCTGTGATACTCCGTGTGACTTCAAGGAAACAAGGTTTACATGGCGTCGTAAACCTATGGGGTTTTTGAATTAAATTTTTGTGGTGAAATGGTTTGCAGCCCTAAGAAAGCTATTAAACCAAATTATCCCCTGTCAGTATATCTGCTTGATCCGTACCAGCTAAAAGGGGATAACAAAAGTTTCAGAGCATGAGAGGAGTATTTTTGGAAAAATACAAGATTTTTGTTCACCAATGTCTCGCTTCCACCCATTGGCTGTCGCTCTGTTCATGCCGTTCGTGCTTATCAGACTGTGTATTTGTTGATCCCACCGCATCTTGGCTCGACCATTTTCGGTGGTGGGGAAGACATCTTGTGTTGTTTTCATCGTGGGACCGTCCTGGCTGCTGTTCCCTGGAAACATCCATCGGGTGTGCTGTGCCATGTGTGATGTTATCCCCCTGCCACCTTGTTTCCTCGAAGTCATACGGAGTATAACGGAGTTCTTGACTTCAAGTTCTCGAAGTATAGGTAACCTAGGCCTATGCCGTGGGCAGTGCAGATATCTGGGATTCTTGCAAAATGGCAGGTACCGTGCCAGTCCGATGATCAGGTTACACAATCTTTTCTTTCATCAGTACATACACGCGCACTCGTTGCAGTTGTTTTCATCAGTGCGGTGTAGTTGCTACTCATAATTCTGTGAAACTCCCAGATGTCCACGCTGCCTCATATGAAACTACCGGGCATGTGTATATTTTGTAGAATGTAACCTGCATTTTTGGTAAAAAAGAATTAGCTTTTCCTGCCATCCAAACCTCTAAATCCCTCAAACATCTGCACACATCTGCATGTGTGTGGTTCCCTGACCACAGATTTCCCTGACGTCTCTATGCATAAACTTAACGAGAGCATTGGATCTGGTATCCAAAACAAACACGTTCGTTATACTGTGCCTGTTTTTGTCATGTGATGTATGGCTACAGAATGTTGCAGAATTGCAGATGTGTGTGAATCTTTTTTCTGAGCAGCGCAAAGCTTGGTGGCTGTGTTCATAACAAAACTGTACACTGAACATTATGCTAATCAGGAAGCAGTCGTTGATGCACGAGTGTCAACACAGCATGCTTTCTGTGAATGGTCCGCTAGGCCTGTGCGTGGCGATGTCAACAGGACATCAACATATACAGTTAACTCCGACTAAGTCGACATCGCGTAACCCGTCATTTTGTCAAGTCGGCCGTTTCACAAAAGTCCAAATCATCTGTAATGCATTTCTATTCAAAATTTCATTTCTAAGTCTGCATTTACATGTCGTCGTTTCATATATGTCGGCATGTTTTTCTTGGTCCCTTTTCCACAAAACCACACAAATTCCTTTGTGTAAGTCGGCATAAAAAAATCCTGCTTCGGTATCGGTTTCCTTTGCCGCAGTTGCCAAGAAGTATCAAGTGACAAGTCCCATGTGTGAGAGGCCAGCATGAGTACATCAATACTAGTAACCCCTCTAGTGCTACACGCATGCACTCTGTCCATTTTGGGGTCGTCCTATTGAACGTACATGTAGTCTGGTTCCCTGCCCAAAGATTCCCAGACGACCTTTGATGATTCATCGGGTAGTTTGAGTCATCGGGTCTGCAAGCCTCAATCTTGGGGAAAAAAGGGGTAGGCCACTTTGGCCTTGCCTTCATCAAATTTCAACAGGGCACCAGGCTAGCTCAAGGGGCACCAAGGCCAATTATTTTGAAACCCTTGATGTACATTTTTGACAACCAGTCACGTCATGAGTAGGCCTATAAGCTATTCAGTTCTTGTACACCATGCCACCCCCTTCAATAAAAGGAGTTTATCATGCTGCTATTATTTGTCGCATTCACTGTATAAAACTGTAATGTTCATGTTTAATTAATTACAATTACCCGGACGATTTTTTCCTTCAGAATCCAGCCTCTGATTTAATGCTTGCGTAGATTTTGTATCCCTTTCCCATTAGAATGCAAGGATTCCCAACCCGCTTAAACTAAGTTTAAATATGATAAATAATATTATCCATTTATTTAAATGAAATGGGGATCCTTTTAAAATGTTTACTGTTTGCTAAATGGTTACAGAAAACTCCAGGTCAAGTCGGCATGGTGCAACTCGTAAGTCGGCCTTTTGATAAAAGTACCGATCGTGTGTTGATGCATTTCCATCGATAATTTTTAAGTGGGCCTTTATAAGCATTCGTTTTGTTCAAGTCGGCATGTTCTTTCGGTTTCTTTTCCACAAAACTACCAAAAAATCCTCAGTATAAAGTGGGCTGTAAACAAACAATCGATTTCCGGTGCTTTGTTGTCAATACTGATGTGGATGACGTGGAGTAGGCCCACATGTGTACATTTTGCATGCACGCGAGCGCGACCACAAAGGGGTTTCCCCAATATTCACAATAATACCAGTACCCCCTCTAGTGCAGGCGCATGCACTCTGTCCGTTTTTAGGCGTCGCCCTATTGAACAAATTTTCACTTGCGGCCTGCCCCCAAGATCCCACGTGCATACGCATGGCGCCGGTGCATGATGTGTGCTATGCGTGCTAGCACTATGTCAGTAGAAACAGCATGCACGGGTCATCCTCAGTACAGACGGAGCGGTAGCGATGATCAAAATCAAGGACAAACTTACCTGAATCGATAACGGAGATAGAAATAAACCAGGGCAGATCAAAGCAATCAAACTGGTGCAGTGAATTATATGGATGGTATTCTCTAAGGCAGCACGCCACGTAAGTCGGCAAGCAGCACATGTCGGCATTTAGAAGTCATTATTTTTTCGAGTCAAGACTGAGTGCTAACTTTTACAAGTGTATAAATACTTGATCCCTACTTTTTCTGGAGGTTTTCAAGCTTCTGGCACTTTGAGCCATCCCGCTAGAAAGCATCCTTTTTATCATTTCGTTATACGATCGTTCGATCGCGATGGCATGATTTTGAGATATAGGCCTAGGCCTAGCGAATGGTCAAAACTTATTCTTAACACAATAAGTACTGCCTGGTTTCCGACTTACGTGTGCAAATTTGCATTCAAAATACGCTGCTCACCGGTGCAGCGCTGATAATGATATCCAAGGCTGCGTTCGCGCGGTTACTCCCGATAACCCCACTGTGGATGCGCGCGCATTACACTCGGGTCAGGCGTATACTCCTGTTCCTCTGTGATCGATGGGGAGTATACTCTCACTGACCCGAGGACGGGACTCCTGCAGTTCGTGCGCTTGGGATAGCACTCTGGTTAGCACGAGTAGCTCGCTCGAACGCCGCCCAAAAGGTTAAACTTGCCCCAATTTGGAATCGCACTGCATGCATTGGCTTACACGTGGTACACTGTCATTACACATACTGCCGGCTGCAAAGGGGGAAGGGCACGCTGGCCAAGGTGGCCGCGCGATGTGCATTTTTTGGAAGGGCATTATAGCCCACTTGGAAGGGCACGCGGCCAATGGCCGCAGTGGCCGTGGTAAAGATCTAGGCCTTGGTCTTGAATCAAGACTATATTGAACGAACTTAACCAATGCGCGTGTGTGTGGATTAGTGTATGTTTTCTGTACCGTAACTGTATTATGTACATGTACTATGTATGTACTGCACTATCGAGTTGCGATGTGATATGCAACTTTGCGAGTGGCTTGCCCTCCTTGCTTCGTCTTTAAGGGCACATGATCAATTATTGAATTTGCAGGATAATAATCGAGAATGAATTTGCTGGGATCAACTATGGAGGTAGAAATAAACCAGTGTAAATCAAAGCCATTGAATTAGTGCAAGGAATCGTAATGTACATGTACATAGGCAATATATGTGTATGTATAAGGCAGGTTCCTTAAAATATGGACCAATAAATAATGTTCAACTTTGGGGGTTCATTTTTCCTGAAGTGAACAGCAGTGAATTAATTTTCAATGTTTGATGTAATGAGGGAAATCATGGCTGATATCTGAAACAATGATGACCTTGTCAACCTTTCAACTTGATTGGAGTTAATTA